TTAATTTGTATAGCAAATTTAGGAGATCAAGTTGGCAAGTTTAGGAAATAATATTTAGATATTTTAAATCTAGATAGTTTTTTTTAAGTTAAAAAAGATAAGCCTATGCTATAAATACCCTTCCACCCATTAAGTTTTTCATCCCAAGAATACAAGAATATAAAATGTAGCATTATTTTATAAAATATCTTGGTCAAAACTAACGTGAGTAACAATGTAGGTCTCTAGTATATTGAGACAAAGAAGGTGAACTCGAACTATTAGGATTAAAAGTGGTTCGAACTATCAATGAGGTCGTGTAGAAGATAAGGATGAAAATACGAACACCTTAGGGTGGATAGAAAAGTGCCAATATAAGATATGAAAATATTAAATTTGGAGTAGGTGACACGGTATTTTTTAAGGTGACACTAATGAAAGGTATTTTAAAGTTCATATGTAAAGACAGGTTAAATCCACACTTCATCACGATCTTCAAAATTCTAGCTTAAATTAGACCGACGAAATATTGATTGAGGTTGCCACCATTTTTTCTACCATGCACAACATGTTTTACGTGTCTATGCTTTGTAAGGACATGTTGGACGAGACCCATGTGATAGATTGAGTTTTTTTTTTTTTTTTTAATTAAAGATCGAGAGCTAAGTTATGAAAAATCCATACAAATTTTAGCCATAAAAGTAGGGACCTCATTAGAGACGTAAACATTGGTAGGCAAAACCGTAAGTTAGAGGAGGTGGCATGAAAATAGGAGGACAACATGATGGGGGAAGCACCCAAGTTATTCCAAGTTGGTTATTCCAAGTTTAAGGTAATGTTTGGGACAAAATATTGTTAAAGTCAAATGATGTATATATATATATACATACCACACTCTTCCCACATTCTCTATTTACCCCTTTTCACCTCATTTCTTCCGCTTTCCTCCACCTTAATTCACTTTCTCTTCTCCTTGTTCCTACATCCCAATTCATTTCTCTTTTTATTTCTCATTTTCCTTGCATTCCTCAATCAATTTTGTGAATAAGGAGAAGAAAGAGAGGAGAAAGAAAGAAAAAAAAAAGAAAGGAAGCAAGTTCGGAGTTAGCTTCAAAATCAAATCTCTTTGACAAACTTCTATTTTAAACCCGAATCACTAATTGAATGTAATGCCTCTAATTTTCTAATCTAAAACAGACGTCACACATGCATGACTTTTCAAACATGCACATAGAAACTTAATAAAATCTTTTAAATGAAGTCATGGACTTATAAGTTTAATTTAAAAATAAGAAATAAAAGTACCATAGCCAAATCATTAACCTAAATTCCATTACGAAAATAAAAACTCTAAACTTCCTATGAGCTACTAAGGAAAAACAATGTATACTATTATCCTAACTTAGCTTTCATGGTCGTTCCAACATCACCGTCACCTATGCAAAGGGCATTTTGTCTTTACCTGAAAGATATGAGTAGCACGTGGTTTGAGTATTTTAAGAAATACTCAGTAAGTAATTTTATTATTGGAGTCCGGTAATACATGAAAGGGAATGGACTCTTCATCTAGAAAAGCATTGGGAACTGTTTTAATTTTTATTAAGAATTAAAACAAAGCAATAAATATGAGAGCAATAACTCTACTTTTTATAGAAACTCTACCTTGCAACTTGATATATTTCAACTATACAAAAATTCTTCATATTCCACACATTTTTATTATGACTTGATCACAAGGTTAAGGTTTGTGGGAGATGCTTGAAAGAAAATTACAAAAGATTCTCTGTTGGGCCAATGAGAAGGTGGGCCCATCGTTCAAATCCAGAAATCAGTACTTAAAAGAACAAGATGTCTAATTTCCTTATATGGAAATTAGTGAATTTCATCCCATGATATTATGTTTCCAACTCGTCAAGTATCCAAAATGGTAGACATATTGAATCATGTAAAGGAGTCATTCTCACCCATGTAAATTAAACGACAATCCCTCGCAGGCAGGAGTTTATACTGACTCAAGATTAAGATCGAGTCGCATATAATCATCATGTGAAATATTAATTTTTTCAATTAACGGATTTATAAAGAGATATTAAATATTTCTCGGTCCAATCTTATACAAACCCATTATATAGGATACCCCCACTTGCATGTCTTCACATGAACGATTTCGATCAAATCATTTGTAACAATTACAAAGTGGGTCGTATCAATAGTTTTATCAGGATAAGGTACCCAACCTTAACCATATACATAGACCCTTTAGGTATTATTTGAACACGATTCTCTTGGATGTCAACCAAATGTTGTTCAAGATTACATTAATAACGTTTGATTTTCATAACATGAATAACAATTAAATTATAAATAAAATAATAGAAATTATTGTTAAAAACTAAATAATTAATTATGAGACTAGGGCATAAATCCTAATAATCTCCTGTGCACTAAAGCTGGTGAGATAGACAGGTGTCCTAGGGCATACTCTATACCCAACATGTTCTCCCACTTACCCTAGAGAAGACGAGACATGTCTTGTAATCCTAGACATTCTAAGTGACTCTCAAACACTTTAGTCTAGAGAGATATTTTATATAAATCAAAACAATTATCATTAAAAGTGATACTAGATGCTTTTTCTCTCAATATCATTCTCTATAGGTTGATATTTTATAATTTCCTTAATATTAGTCTTTGTATCACTATCGTGATGGACTAAATCACCTCTGAAACACCTCTAAAATATTTAAGATATTATTATAGTCATACAAGTCATTTGGTTGCTTTAAGAACAAAATATATAGATATATAGATATATATATATATATATATAGCTTGTATATCATCCTTCACGACCTAAGGTAAAATTGATCTTAACGTAAATTTCTCTAAATTTATATAACAAGTAGTGTATCACTTAGATCAAATCTTTAACTCCATACACAAAATAAAAAAATCTCATTATCTATCGATACTCTGAGCAAACTTTAATTTTTCACTTAATGGTCATATCATTAGTTTAACTAATATAATCTAACTAACGATATATTAAACGCTAATTCTCATCTTCGCATTAATTGTCTCCCACTAAGGAAATATAATTAATCATATACTCTCAATATTTGAGGTTACGTAGTATACTATTCCTCTACCTTCATATTTGAAGGATCGTTATTATTCTTTAAAGTTTTGCATCAAATATTTGACAACAATTTTGCAACACAAGATATACGAGACAATATTAACTACTATCCTTAAATCTATATTTTTAGGATATATAGAATTATCCCAAATCATTCCTTTGGAATTGGTTAGTCGGTTAAATTGAAAGATTACAGGTGTAATATGTCATTAACTTAAAAAAAAAAAAATTTGAGAAAATCCACTACGCAATTAGTAATTTTTTTTTTCACAAGTTCATTACAATTTCTTCAAATTCATACGTTATCAAACCTTCTCTGGAAAGATCTATGTTAAATTTTTTAAATGAACTTTTACTCTTTGGCAAACATTTTGTTTTTTATCTTTAATAATGAATCCCATTCTAAATATTTATTTAACATATTTCATATAGGCAAAAATGAATTAGAGAATAATAATAGACTCTAGAATAACAACCTGAGAAAAAGTCTACTTCTAGCTACTTTCTCCTATGAAGTTCAACTTTTTGTCACAAGTCCCATTTTGATGATGTTTTTCTAGATTAAGATGAGCTCTAAGTAAGACCTTGATTCTTAAGCAATCTGGAGGCTACCTCACGAACCTGAATTAAATAAGCTTATCACACACCCGTGCAACAAAGTATCCAAACCTAAGTTTTTCAAGACATGAAGTATACGAGGTACCACTCATGAAACTAGAACCAAGAATGAGATCTAAAGACAATGACAAGACCAAAAAATAAGCATGGTACTCTAACACACCTTAAGGACACGAGTAAGAGCCTATAAGTAGGCTACTTACTGAATCTTTGTACTCACTCCATATTTTACATGTTTTTCAAACAAATAAGAATCTGGTCGAGGTTGGGAGCAGACTTTTGAGCATGTATCATATACAAGTCTCATTTGTCGTCTCTAACCTTATTTTGTTTTAAATATTTTGAGGGTATTAATGAAACTTTTTAAAGTTAGGTTTAAAATAAAGTATTAGCAACTTCGCTCAAAATTACCAATAAAGTTATTTTTTAGATATTTTTTTTAGTTTAAAATTATTGTTAAAATTTTTGAATGTTGGATCACAACTAAATACAAAATACAAAATTTAAGGATATTTTTATTAATTTAATTATTACTCAATTTCGTATTCTTTTTTCAATCTCCCACCAGCAAATCCAAGAACAATATCCAAGAAGAATATGGATTATAAAAAGTATGAGTACAAGTTACATATATATTAGGAAGGAACAACTTTTTTCCTTCTTATGATTCACTTCTGTTTGATTACAACTTAATTGTACAATAATTTAAATAGACGTACAATGTGATCATTTGCATATACCAAGTATATATACCAAGTATAAAGAGATGAGTGTGAAGGCAACCAAAGAATAGATGGTTTGAAATGTTGGATAAAAGTCTTATATCCGCTAATTTAAGGAATGATCTTAGGTTTATAATCCAGAAATACTATCTCCATGGATAATGAGAACTTAGGGAAGTCTAAACGAGAGCTTAGGTTCAAAGTGGACAATATGATACTAGTGTGGAGAGTCGCGTTCATCTAACATAATATCGGAACACCAATATTGTGAATCTCAATTTCGAAGGCAAAGTAAAAAATGACTAAGACTCCGTTTATAATATCATATCATCCTGGAGAGTAGTAAAAAAGTTTAAAAACTGTGTTAGTTATAAAAGGAAAAGAAAAAGGAGAGAAACATGTTCTTTTACGTTCACTTTTATTTAAGCGACAGAATCAAGGCTTTACGACTTGAAGAAGCAAACCAAAATGCTATGAATCTTTATGAACATATATATATATATATATGAAGTGTGTGATATTGTTGAAATGAAAGCGAGAGAGATATATAAAAATGAGTCCGTTCGACGTAATGCGAGGGCTTTACAAGGCAGTGATCAAAGAGGAATGGAAGAGTGTGCAAGAAGAATTAAAAGAGGAAATGAAGATCGTTTTTCCAATGACCACCAGCAAAGACACGGCGTTGCATCTGGCGGTGTACAGCGGAGAAGAGCAGCCGTTGAAGAGTTTACTGGCGGCGATTACCACAGTGCGCGATGATTTCTGGAGGAACAGTGCCGGAAACACGCCGTTGCATGAAGCTGCCACAATCGGGAATTTGGCGGCCGTGAAGCTTCTAGTCGATTACAATAAAGACGATCTGTTAGCAGAGAATATTTATGGGGAAACTCCTCTGTTTAGAGCGGCTCGATGTGGGCATCTTGACATTGTTAAGTTCATCTTGGAGGACTGTGATGATTACCTGTCTCGATCCCCTAGGAATTGGACTACAAGAAACAATAAACCCATTATTCATGCAGTGATTCAGAGCCAGAAATTCGGTTTGCCTTTGCCTCTCCCTTTTTTATGTGTGTTTTCAAATACGTTGCTCAAATATTTAGTTGTGGTTTGATTTCAGATGTTGCGTTGAAATTGGCTGAGTTCGACGAGTCGCTGTTGGAAATGAAGGATTCAGAAGGCAAAACGGCTCTTCAAGTCTTGGCTAACATGCCCCTCGCTTTCCGTAGCGGATCCTCCCCCACCTTCTTCGAATCATTTATCTATACTCGTAACCCCTTCTCTTCTTTTTTTTATTATTTTTTACACGTGTATTAAAATAATAAATTGTGTATTAATTAAATAATCATATAATTTTTTTTTTTTTTTTATCACAGTGCTTCCTAGTGAGGACATTTACCATTACAAGCCCTCAAATTCTGAGTCTTCCAAAAACCATGCGAGTTGCTGCTTAAAAAACAAGAAGAATGGTGATTTAGAAGCCGGAACCAACTCTAATCGTCCACCCAATTTTTGTAAGTGTTGGAAGGGAGTCCCAGGTTGTTGACTCTAATTTATAACGACTACATTCAAATCAAATATTCAAAATGGATAGATTTGTAATTCAATTTAAAACTTGTGGGGTTGATGTGTGTAAGTTTATGAATTTTGCAGGGATATATTTTGGAGGATGTTTGACAGGGCTGTTTTGGAGATTCATCTTTCTGGGTCTCTCTTATTCTCTGTTTTCTGAATTCAAATTTCATGTTTGATTCAATAATTTTATAACCCAACAAGATGTTTACAGGATGGCCACAATGGAAAGAGATGTATAAGAAAAAGCGACACCACAAATTAGGCGTAACCATCACCAACAAGCTTGCTCAAATCGATAATTCATGGCGTAAAACCAAAGTGACACCGGACACCACCGAAATCGACTCCATCGGAATCTCTCTCTCCGACGAAAACGAAAAACTGGATATCTTAGAAATCCAATCTAAACCCGTTAACAACCAAGGAGAAATCCCAGACTTCGAATACAATGATCACCATGAAACCCCTCTCCTTCTCGCTGCCGCCAATGGAATTATCGAGATCGTCGACGAGATCTTCCAAGCGAATCCTCAGGCCGTCGATTACCTAACGGTACAAGACAGAAACATTCTTCACGTCGCTATTGCACATCGCCGGAAAAATATCTTCGATTGGATTTTGAAACGAAGATTAATAATGGCGAGGCTCGTCAGTAGAATTGACGACATGGGATTCACTGCACTGCACCATGTGGGTATCACGAAATTCTACAGCGGTGGGACTCATGGCCCTGCTCTGCAACTTCAAGAAGAGCTAAAATGGTATGAACGCGTGCAAACTCAGATCCCTGCGCTCTACACCATGCATCACAGCAAGATGAAATGGACAGCTCGTGAGTTCTTTGAGAAGACGCATAACAAACTGCTCGAGGATGGGAAAGAATGGCTAAAGAAAACCTCTGAGTCGTGTTCTGCTGTCGCCGTCCTCATTTCCACCGTCGTCTTCGCCGCCGCCTACACTGTCCCTGGCGGCCTCAACAGCAATACAGGCTCTCCAGTCCTCCTCACTGAACCCATCTACATCGTCTTCACTATAATGGACATCATCGGCCTCGCCACGGCGCTCACCTCATTGGTTCTGTTTCTCTCTGTTCTAACATCGTCATTTAAGATGGATGCTTTTCTTTACACTTTGCCGCTGAAATTGTCGATGGGATTTCAATTGCTGTTCCTATCAGTGGCAACCACGATGATGGCATTTGCATTGACGATCGTGTTGACAGTGAAGACGGAGGAGATGAAGTGGACGGTGAGTTTGTTGTATTTGGCGACGTTTTTTCCAGTGACGATGTTTATAATCATTCAAATGCCGTTGTATGTGGAATTGGTGAAGAACATTTGGGGTTATCGCCACAGTCTTTCCAAGTTCTTTCCCATGGGTTTTGTTGCATTGTTTTGGAACGCCCCTTCCAAAATTTTGACCAGGAAATTTGTTTGATTTTTCATGGCGCTCTAATTATTGCTGCCTGCCTTTAATTTTATATGTGCCTGCCCATTCATGAAAAAGAAGTTGATTTGAATTTCTTTAACTGTTTAAATGTTTACCATTTGCATGTGAATCATTGTACATGGTTGGACTTGTGACTATTTTCAGATCTATTCATACTTTTGAGTTCAGTAATAAAAAAGACAGTTCCCATCTCACCTACCATGTAGTTGGGCGCCAGGGACGACAGAATACTTTTGGAATTCAACCGGAGAAAATTGGAGAGACGGGAGAAAAGGTCTTGAGTAATATATTTCTATATACCCTGAGAATTAAAAAGGATTGGAAAGGAGAAGGCAAGGGAAAAAGATAAAAAAAAGGACATTTTCCCATTTCTAAGAAACAAATAATAAAATATTTGAAAAAGTAGTAAATTACCAAAATACTCCTAACTCCTAAACTTGTGAAAATGTCCTTCTGTCTAGAATTAGAACTTTCACATTGGCCTTCTATACAAAATCCATTGAATCTAAAAAATCATTAGTTGGATCTCCTCTAAAATTGGACATAATGTAGAAAGTTCATAGATCATCACATCCAATGGTCAGTATTCAAATTGGTAGACAGTAGCTCGCTGATCGGAGACGATATTTTCGACAGATTATCCAAAAAATTTAATCTCCAACGCGACAATTCTGGAGGTTTCAACATCGCTGGCAACTTCCCCTATAAATTCTAAAGTTGGGGCAATAGTTTGGAACAAGAGTCGAGCAAGGAGGAGCTTTCAATCACAAGAAATAAATGTTTAGGTTTTGAGTCTCTTGCTCTCGAATTTCTTCCAAATTTGAGAGAAATTCTCCACCATTTTCCTTCAAACTTATTCCTACCATTCACAAGTTCTATGAAGAAATCGAGTGTTGAAAGGGCCTAGAAACCATTCCCCCAATCTAATCTGTCATTGAAGAGCTTCAAGGAAAACTAAAAAATTCAATCCAAGGATACACGATAATTGAGCAAGGACAATCCCAATCAATTTCCGCACCTCCAAGGAGTGTTTCCATAGAAGACCACAAAAAGAAATAACCTCAGGAACGTGCCCAATTGAAGGAAATCAACTTTGGGCTCAAATTGGAGATAAGTGTCGAACTCCTATCTACGGTCCCTTTTCCTTCAGATTGAAGATTCCTTTAGCTTCAAAAGATTAAGTTGAGTAACTTTGATGAAGTAATCGAGAGTTGCAACGTCGTAGAACAGGCTGCCCAAGAAAACAAAAATTGGTGTTTCTCGAGTGAGTTGCAAATTGAGAACAAATTCTGGAAATTAAGGTCCCACACTCAAAGTCGTTCCTCCGAACCAATTTCTTTAGTTTGAGAGAAAGATAAGGAAGATGATCCATGAAGAAATAGGGTCTTGAAAACCCCTAGAACTAATTATCCAATAAAGGATTCCCTGTTTTAATCTCCGGAGAGAAAATAGATTTTGGACAAACTTTGGAAGCAAATATCTTAGGCTACAATTCACGAGAAGGTATGAAAACAATTCCTAGCTCTTCCTTGTAATACCATTTTTAAGTTTCATGAAGCAATTGAGGGGAGAAACACTGAAAATAGAGTTGTGGAAGGCGAGTTTCAGACGACGATGCGATATAAAATGCGCCTTTTTCCTGTCTAGAGGAAGAAGACGATAAGTGCCTAGTGTTGTGCTCCTCCTTCTCCCGCTCGGTGACGAGGTACTCCACCGTGAATTTTTCTGGGTTCTCGTTCGCCGCGGCCACGTTGTTCCACCGCCTGAAGGTGTTCACGTTAAAGACGACGTCGCACGATACATGAGCTCGTCCCCCCACAGGATCATAAAACCTTTACGCCTTGCTCCGGGGTTCGTAGCTGATGAAGACGACCTTCAACCCCCTGGGATCGAGCTTGGTGAGGTGGGGACCGTGATCTTCATGTACGCGATGCAGTTGAACACTCGGAGATGATGTACCGTAGGCTTCTTATTGTACCAGACCTCATGTGACGTTTGTCCCCCCGCATGATCATAAAACCTTTACGCCTTGCTCCGGGGTTCGTAGTCGATGAAGACGACCTTCAACCCCCTGGGATCGAGCTTGGTGAGGTGGAGACCGTGATCTTCATGTACGTGATGCAGTTGAACACTCGGAGATGATGTACCACAGGCTTCTTATTGTACCAGACCTCATGTGGCGTCTTCCCATCGAGGCTTCGCGTTGGCAACCAGTTGAGGAGATAGACGACCGTCATCAGCAATGATCTTGTCATCCCGATGATGGTCTGGTTTCGATGTTTCACCACCCCGTTCTGCTGGACAGAGTAGGGCGTTGTTAAGTGCCGCTACACGTCGAGCTCATCACAATACTTGCCGAAGCTTGCCTAGGTGAATTCTTTGCCTCGGTCCGTGCACAACACTCGCATCTTCTACATTCGGCCTTCGCGCGCACTTGAACGCGCTTAATCGCCTTTGCTACCTCACTCTTTTCTTGCAGTAGGATCAGCCACATGGAGCGGCTCTTGTCATTGACCAATAGGAGGAAGAGAGTCTTGCCGCCTGGGGTCGTGGGCTTGATGGGCCCGCAGAGATCGTTGTGTATGAGCTCCAATGGCTCATCGGCGCGGTAAGATGCCTGAGACGAAAAATAGGTGCCCTTCTGCTTGCTGATAAGACACCCGTCACACAACCTGTTCATGCCTTCGATTGCAGGCAAACCATACACCATCTCCTCCTGGTGTAGTTTCTGTAGTGCAGAAAAGCTTAGGTGCCTGTACCTTCGGTCCTGGCCGAGAGGTAGACCAGCTATTCTATCTTCAACTTCAGGATGTAGAGGCGATTCGCCATGCACCGAACTTGCGTGAGGAGCCGTCGTTGATCGTCGTAGATCTTGAGCAGCCCACAATCGATGTAGATGAAGCAGTTGGCCTCATCGAGTTGATCCGGTCTTCCAATGTTAGCTTTGAGTCGCAAGATGAAGTAGACGTTAGCTAGCTTGCGGTGCTCACTGCCCTTGCCAACGAACAGGATGGTGTCGCTCCAGTTGATCTCGATGATGGAGCCGTCGCTAAACTTCACCATCCCGCAAATCTCCAAGTCGAGCTCGAAGAACGCAAACTTGGCCCCGGTCATATGGTTTGTTGCCCCTGTGTCGAGGACCCATCATCGTGGCTCGTATTGCTCGTCCCTTTCGCCGATCTGAGCGAACACTCGCTCCTTCTTCAACTGAATCAACTCCCCAGCCGCTGTCTGTGCCACGCCCCAGCTGGAGCTCTTCTTCGGCGACGCTCACCGGAGCAGCGCCACCGTCGATTGCTTATGTGGATTTGGAATCGAAATTGGAAAAAACAGTTAACGCCTTTGCTGCCAGAGGACCCGCCGTTATCGCGGAGCTTCAGGCGTGCAAGCCACTTCTCCTTAGTGAGGAGAAGACGACCGTGCTTGTCAATAGCTGCAGCGACATTCTTTTTCCTCTGCTCGACGTTGCATAATCTTTCGGCCACTTCTTCCACTGTTAGTTCGTCCATGTCAAACAATGTCTCAATCGAAATTACGACTTGCTCGAGGTGATCTGGGGCGACCTGCAGCATCTTCTTCATGATCTCCATCTTACTAATGCTCACACCGAGAGTGGTGTGCTGTTGGCAAGCCTCGTGATCCACATGGAGAAATCATCGACGGATTCACCATCCTTGAAGTAGATCTCCGAGAACTCTTTCCGCAATTGCTCGATTTTGGACTCTCGCACTCGCTACACACCAACTCGGTAGGATTTGATCCCCTCCCAGGCTGATTGGGCAGTGCGCTTGGTGGAGAGAGATGATAGCATCTCTGAAGGTATAGCCTACAGTATGGCGGCGAACGCCAGCCGATCCTCCCGGTACTCGATCGCTTCTCCTTCCTCCGGGTCTACGGCGTGTCATAGCCCTTGCGCTTGCAGGTTCACGCGCATCAACAAAGCCCACTCGTTGTAGTTGGACCTCATCAGCATCGGGTACTGCACAAAGGTGATTGTCTCCTTTATCACGCGCTCGATGACGATTTCGGCGTCCGTCTTCGCGGCGTAGAGGAGTGCGTGAGCCTTTCTAGGATGAATCCTGTTAGACGAACACGACTCTCCACAATGGTATGATATTGTCCACTTTGAGCATAAGCTCTCATGGCTTTGTTTTGGGCTTCCCCAAAAGGCCTCATACCAATGGAGTTAGTATTCCTCACTTATAAACCCATGATCACACCCTAAATTAGTCGATGTGGGACTTCCATCATCCAACACCTCCCCTCGAACAAAGTGCGCCTCCCCTTAATCGAGGCTCAACTCCTTTGGAGTCTTAGTCATTTTTGACTGCCTTCGAGGAGGGGCTTGGCTCCTTTTTCTTTAAGAGTTCTTTGTTCGATATTTGAGGATTCGAGGATTTACTCATCTATTGGCACGACTAAGTTTAGGGCATGGCTCTGATACCAAGTTAGACGAACACGACTCTCCACAATGGTATGATATTGTCCACTTTGAGCATAAGCTCTCATGGCTTTGCTTTGGGCTTCCCCAAAAGGCCTCATGCCAATGGAGTTAGTATTCCTCACTTATAAACCCATGATCACACCCTAAATTAGTCGATGTGGGACTTCCATCATCCAACACCTCCCCTCGAACAAAGTGCGCCTCCCCTTAATCGAGGCTCGACTCCTTTGGAGTCTTAGTCATTTTTGACGGCCTTCGAGGAGGGGCTTAGCTCCTTTTCTTTAAGAGTTCTTTGTTCGATATTTGAGGATTTGAGGATTTACCAATCTATTGGCACGACTAAGTTTAGGGCATGGCTCTGATACCATGTTAGACGAACACGACTCTCCACAATGGTATGATATTGTCCACTTTGAGCATAAGCTCTCATGGCTTTGTTTTGGGCTTCCCCAAAAGGCCTCATACCAATGGAGTTAGTATTCCTCACTTATAAACCCATGATCACACCCTAAATTAGTCGATGTGGGACTTCCATCATCCAACACCTCCCCTCGAACAAAGTGCGCCTCCCCTTAATCGAGGCTCAACTCCTTTGGAGTCTTAGTCATTTTTGACTGCCTTCGA